AACCGATCAACCAACGGAAGCTAGGGGAGGAGATAAAGGAATGTGGGAAAGAGGGGGGGGAGGGTGAGGGAAACGGAATATGGGGGGGGGGGGTACCGGGCAGGCATGGGGAGCAGCTTGGGACTTCCAACATGCCCAGGTATGCCCCCGTCTTTCCAGATGTAAAATATATTTGGGGCAAGTGGGGGGGGGATATCACCGGTATATTGAAGAACGAAGTCTATCGTACGAGTAAAATCCGCGCCCAGGTTAATGATGTGGCAGATGTGGACGGCATTCGGGGCGGTGTCGCTCAGCGGTTACACAAACAATACTGCGGCGTTAACTATGAAATATCATCACTCCCCGGAGTCCCCACAGCACCCCCCCCCCACATATTTTCCAAGAGCCCCATGTCCTAACTTCTATCAGGCCTCGGCAATTAGTCTACGGGGAATTAGATTAAATCAAGTGCGGTTTGCGGATTGTTATCAGAAAAGTGAGATTTGGCCGCTGTGCGCATTCATCTATAATACCTGCTCCTATTTGTGTGCAGGCAGCAGACCCACCAGCCCACACTCAGTTTTCTTTTTTGCTACCCTACCTGCCGTACTTAGCTACACAGCACATGCTATTGGCTTGGGATATAGGACATTGCCATCGAACCTGAAGACGCTAATCCCCGGGGATGAGCGGAACGGGGCCCGACGGGGCAGGAGAGGTGGAAAAACAGGAACCAATACTGTACGAGTACTGCCCACAACCACTGGGTATCGTGATACATTTGAACCACACCCGGTGATGATAGTTGTCAGCGCCCGCGAATGGGGTGTTTGGAATCCGCGGTAATCCCTGGAGAGGGGGGGGGCAATAAATGGTGAGCTTAGGTTTTAGTGATCAGCAGGAGCCCCAGAGCAAAGCATAAGTTACGCAAAGTTCAAGTCCGGTGGCAGGAACACGTGATCACTGGCTGCCAGTAGGCAACAGCAGCTCCCAATGACCCCGCTTTCCACTCAACGCCCAATGCCCATTCTCTCAAACAAAGTACAACAATAGCATTGTGTGAAACGTGAATAATATTGGTGCGAAAGATAAGAGCTTGAGATTCTAGCACAGTTGTCTCCACTTGGGCCCTGCACTCGACATCAAGATTTCCGAAACCGTCCGATAGCGTAGGGGGACGGCTGCTGGAAACAAGGAATTTCAAAGGTGGTGCGATGGCTCTCGACAGGATGGATGGATCTGAGTGTGTGGCTTTATCCCGTTACGGCAGTGGGCATGACATATTTCACCTGGGGGGGATAATCCGGGGAGAAAGGCTCAAGGATATTGGTGCTCATGAGCAGCGATACTAACTCACTGGTAGACAGGTTATGCGACAAGACCAAAGAGTGGAATATAATTGTTGCATGTTTCTAGGCTGATTTCGCGTGGCGGGAGAGGCAGCCTCCAACAAATGCGCTCAATTCTATATTAAAGCAGATTGTCGGTGGATTAGAAGGGATGCCGGACGGGATGGCTTAGGCCTCTGAAGATCACAGGAAGATGATTAGCGGGGGCACCAGCACCCGAAATTGTGAACATGCTGCAGACTGTCACATCCTTACTCGTACAGATAAAATAAGTGTATGCGCCGGTGCTCTTGACAGATGTGTAGAAGTTCCTAGAAAACTGTCTCCCCACGCCATCTCCCAAAAATAACGGTGCGCATTGTGGGGATCCAGACCAAACGCCCTCTAACAGTCAATACGGTAGCACAAGCCCCCCAGATACCTCAGCTCCCATCACGGCACCACCCGGATTGACATGTTACTAACCAGATGGTTATGAATCACAATAATCTTCAACCTCTCCTTCTCAGTACGGTAACGCCGAAGTTTCATATTCGTGGCTTCCCCATAACAGTCTTGATCCTCGTGCCGTTAACCTCTAGTAGCATTACACGAGCTCGAAAATGATGTGCCTGCATCCCGCTGCTACCCTCTCCTTCCCGCAACCCTCCGGATCCCCACAATACTGGTGGTATAACCCTACCAATAACGCACCGGAACCGAAAGGTGTAAACCACAAGGGCCGTAAGGACAAATTGCCTCATAATCGTGTAGGTTGAACAAGAAAGAAACCCGCTGATTGGGGGGGGGGGGGAGCCAATGAAAGGAGAACAAAGTGCAATCCCCCCCTTTCAGGCAGGAGGAGAGCTCATCACGGGCATGCAGAATGGCAAAATTTGCTGCCGTTTCGGGTAACGGGACATGTGCCGCCAGTGCCCTGTGATGGGACCACGCAACACCTGTCCTAAACACCAGACCGATCAAAAACATTTCAGGATGCCACTACTATAATACCAATATCCCGGCCAGAACTTCCCTTGATGCGGGAAAACTGCATTACGGCGTGGACTCTCTCTCGCCCTTTCTCCAACTGAGAGTCCGCTGTCTGACACCGGCAGCCAAATTCTATCACCATTCATCACTCGAATGGTTATGCTTGGCCCTTTGCCTCGCTCGTGGTCGCCATGTGGTTCACACACCTTTTTGCACCCGGGCGCTAGCCCAAAAACGGAGCAGGGAAGCCCCCGTCCGGCATTCCGTAGAAAACCGCGTCTTCCCCTTTTTTAGCCCCCTACGGTATGGCATTCGTATCATACGAGTCAGGACACTGCCCCACAATAATGCGCCGGCAACAACAACGTGCATTTGAGCCGCACCGGTGGGTTACTGTTGCAGGCTGGGTTCTCTCACGTGACCAGGCTGCGCGCTGGCGGACTGGAGGGAACGCGCTGGCGTAAACCGAGTACCGAGCACCCGAAGCATCACACTGCATGCAGCTGGCCCGTCTTCCCCGAACCGATCTGCTGTCGCGCACGGACGGCGGCGGCGGCACAGCTGTCCTTGTACTCGAGTACTCTACCAATCACCTGGTCCGTGCACGCCATTTCGAGAAAACCTCTGGACGACGGCGGGAAACTTGTTTTTCAAACAAATCCTCCATCGCTGAGCAGACGATGAGAAGGCGCAACGGGCTAGCCTATCCACCCCCAAAGGATCAATTCTCTGCAGAGCTCGCTCACTCACTTACTGCCTTCATTACCCAATAGCTGTGAGGCGCCTTACGTAACGAATCATGGCTTCACGATGTCATATATATTGGACATCTCTAACAGGGGCCGATGGGCATTACGCACTTTTTTCTTTTTTTTTTATCCCCTCCCTCTCTACGGGAGCCTAAGAAGTGGATTTCGGTGGTTACCGTATCCCAGTGAGTCTAATATCATAGGTGCGAACCTTTTTCAATTCAGCTTTCCGGTCGTGGCGGTCGATGGCCGTACGATATCGTAGTACTGTACTCGTACAGGCCACGGTACCCTTCTCAGCTTAAGCCATTTTCTGGGCACAGTGAAGGTACCGTATGGTTGCCATGCCCATGACTCGCGATCAAAGGAGCTCCCTCATGCCCGACCCAGCCCCATCGTAAGTACAGTGCCGCACATGGTTGCTCGTCCCCAAACACGCCACATGTGCACTACCGGTACTCCAGAGAGAAACAAACCGGATGTCATACATACCAACTGTCGTACTAAAAGACTCTCGAGGAATTAGGGATAGAAACAGAAGACACGAGAATCCATCGCGAAGCAATCACAAAGCCCCAGATTATCCGGTTTACCCGCTCGTAACGCCCCATAATATATAATATCAAAACGTGCAGAGCCGTACCGGTACAAGTAGGTCGCCGAGTGGGAGGGTTCCACCAAACACCCTCACGCGCCACTCGTGCCTTCCACAGAACGAAATTCCTATCCGAGCGCGGCCCGGTTTGGGCCGGGTCGGTCCTCATACGTTTCCCCCGACTCTTCTATGGGACCATGTGGCGCGCAGTCGGTCGTACTCGTAAATTTACACCACCCGCCCTCCCTTCGTGAGAACCTTGCTAAATCTACTGTGTGCCACCCTGTGGCCGCAAAGGGGTGAGACCTTTTCTCTCCACCACTCCTAGAGAAGTGAAATCTAGATCCGGAGCACTTCTGCTGACTGATTTGAGGTTGCATCTTTTGTCATTTTCGTGCCTACCGGACCTCCGTCCGCGTCCTCCTAATTACATTCTACGGTATGAGTGCTCGGATGGAAGAGAGATGTGCTACGGGAGGACCTTGTAATTGCCTCTCGTGTTAAGGCGCCGTGTGTTTTCTTTTCCCCCTTTTTTCTTTTGCCTCGACTGAGTGACGCAGTTGAGCAATAAATAGTAAGGCTCCCGTTCGAAACATTGTATCGTACTACGCCTGATTGGCAGAAGGAATACTCGCACTACCGTATTTCATACCGGAAACACTCGAACGGAAGACAGATGTGCTGTGATTGGACGCTGTAACTGCCCCTCCAATTGAGGCTCTGTGCATATCCCTCCCTCTCTCGTCTCGTCAGCTGAGGGCAAAAGGTGGTTGCGGTGTTTCCCCCCCAGCCAAAAGCCCAGAAGGGGGATTCTACTCAGAGTCCTCACGGTGGCGGGTAAGTTTGGCGCGGCTATCGCATGGTTATGCCATTAGAAGACGTCCAGAATTTCCTTCTTTGGATTACTGTAAGCGGGGGGGGAACAGCTTAAACTCCCCCTTCAGAGCTTAGCCGAGACATAAATGGAAGAGTGCGAGTGCTCGATTACGAGTACAAGTACAGTACCATAAGTTACGGCTGACACTACGGGAACTACTGTAAGAGAGACAACTCTAGCGTCCTATACGTTTTCACGGTTAAGTAGTGTAACGGAGCCCGGTATAAAGTGTCATATTCCGGTGGGGGAGTTAATCCTTAGGCTAGCCCGTCGTGGTGGCCAAATTGATAGATACATACCTCTTCTGGCGAATAAAAAATTGCAAAGTGTTTCACGGAATTTATTCTCCCTTACAATCAATAGCCTCGGCCGTATATTGGGAGCAGTCATTCCTTGGGAATGCTCACTGTTCACGAACTAGCCCTGGTATCATACCCGAGTGCAGCACCCCTGACGTGCGGGAAATCATACAATACGATTGTCAAAATTAATGCTAGCTGTGATATCGGAATTCTGTTGTTTCATGCGTTCGTTCTTGGGCCTCCGGAACGCGGGTTACGCGACCGTGGGCCCGAGTCAGGATGGTCCCCGCGAAATCCTGAGCCGTGAACCCATCAATTATGTCATCAGTGCATCACTTATTCCCCCCACTCTGGAGACTTTAAATGCGTCGAGGCAAGCAGGAAGCACCTGGAAAGAGGGATTCACAAAATATGTGGCAAATGATTCGTGTGTATCCGGGCGCCCATGCGGATTCGCGGCCCCTGTTTTCGGATACTTCTTGCTTGCCACGGACGAGGCACATCAGCCAGCGCACTCACCAGCCACGCGGAGCACCTCCGGGTGAGCTTGCCCCATTCAATACCCCCCAGTACTAGTACTCGTAGGTCCGTGGTGGTGTTGGCTTTCGTGTTCCACACCTGCTCCACAGGCTCCTCCTGACGAGTGACACCTGGATAACAGTTCCCAACACTCCCCGATACCGGAAACTAATCCTGGCAATTTTGGGTTACCAATCCATCCAACTTGATCGCATTGCGCACTTCTAGTAATCGATGAGTTGGCCTCTGGGAACACCCACCGCTGTACGGTATATTTTCGGAAAGGCCGAAACCCTCACCCGAGGTGCCTGCCCAATTGCCTTTCGTTGTTAACATGCTTAAAGTGTAGCGATTAAGGGGGGGGGGGGTGCCTTCGGGTCCTCTCGTTGGCCTGGTTGCCCTCAGCTCAGATCCGGCTTTTACCATACATACCTTACGGTATTATTGAACGAGGGGAGGGGTGCGCACGCTAGGCTGAAGGATTGGAATTTCCTGGCATCTCAGACCTAGTGACTGCAGGCGTGCCTGCGTGCAGTTTGTTGAGCGCCTGCCGCCACGAATAGGCCAGGCGTAAGCACTCGCCTACCGTTAGCGCATTGGACCCGCTCCTCCGGCGGGAGGCAGGCGTGTACCGCTAGGCTCCACTCGATTTCGTCAAGTAAAGAACCCTTAACCAGGGGGAAACAGAATCCCGATGTTGATCGATTGCCTCGGTGTCCGATGGTGGATGCCATATCCATTACACAGCCAGGCTCCCGATCCACAGGCACCCCATTTATAACCATGCATTGGGCGGAATAATTCGACTAAACATACCTCCTCAAGTTTCCGGGGCTGAATCTTCAAGGTTGGCCTGGTCTCAGTATTGGCCATTTCCAGCAGACCAGCGATCGGCAGCCAGGATGGGGGAGGGCTACATAACAGTGAGTGATACCTCGTGATAATGTACCATGTCGAAAAAACTTGCTTTGCTGATACTGCTGCCGGCCTGTTTTAAGGTAATTAATTGCTAGTTTCTTTTGGGAGAGGTGTGCGGTAGAGAGTATCATATATCTTGCATTATGCTTTTAGACCCCGCGTGTTGAGTGCGGCTGGGAGAAGCGGGCTATGCTGGTGGGCCAGAGGCTGTATGTTTCGAAAAGTGTTATCAAAGAATATATAAAATCGTCTGTGCTTGTTCCATGTAGGTATATGTTAATTGAAACCCAAGTTTGTTCTCTTCGGCCGCGGGACACAGACCTTAACATAAGCGCATACGAGCAATACCCTCCAGCGGGCCTAGAACACGATGCTTTCAGTCCATATTAAGGCGCATATCAAGATATTTCGGCTCGGAGGCGAACCCGGACAATCGGTGGATTCGGCCAGGGGATCACAACGGAGCAGGAGTTGAGAAGCTATGAGGGCGACGTCCCAGTCCCTGGTTGGAACCATAATTTCGGCAAGTTTTGCTTCTTCCTAAAACCGACGCTCTCTGAACGAGACCCGCGCCCCCTGATTTTGGCGGGTACTGTAGCTGAGGGATTGAGTCCAGTACCGTATTAACGGTAGAGAGAAAGCCAGCATCATCAGCCTTAAGCGGGTCGGGTTCCGAGCTTCTGGTGAGTGCCCGCAGCCCGTCCAGAAAAGGGGAAACAGGTGTCACATCTTTCCACCGTTTGAAATCGAACTAACAGTCTTCGAGCAGAGTTGGTGCCCCAAGAGCAGTGTTTCTCTCGCTCTCTGTGCGGATTTCCGGCTCTCAATGCTCCTATTGAGATAACCAGTAGCCTTGCACATAGTTCTCTGACCGCTCTAGGGCGCAAGTGTGTCAAAACGCCCTGTCTCCTGTCGAAATGTATCGAGAGATCCGGATGGTCCTCCTTGGACCTGGGCATACAGAAGTGCAAGCCAAACTGCAGAACCTCTGCCTTTATAAAATCAAGGCAACCTAACTCGATAAAACCCGGCACCCACGGTCACAATATCGCTCCCCCAAGAATCCCTAACCAGCTCTTTGCTCTTTCGGGGAAACTGACGGATGTCGGTTAATTGGTAGCACTTGGCATGCAAATCGGTGAGATTGGTCAATCGGACAGAGATCGAAAGAACGTTAACCCGGTTGAGCAAGGCAAGAGGTTTCCATATTTCCGCCCAACGGGTAGGGCAGTGGATGCAAAATATCGCGAATAACGGATCGACACCCCCAAACCACCCGAACTACTAGTAGAGAGGGAGCCGTATCCCATCCGAGGAAGAGGCCCCTGCCAAACAGTCTGTGCGTCGCGCTCTCAACCCATTGTATTTTTGTGAAGCAAGATCCAATACCAAACACAAAACTGCCCACATCTCTCTCTCTCCGGTTATTTCCTTGGCAATCTCACCCTGGCCAGCCACATGCTCCAGTAAGAGCATCAATGAGCCAAGCCCAGTCAGACAGGAGCATACTCGTAAGCAGTGCACAATTCCCCTATCGTATCTCCCGACAATACTCGTACACTCCAATGAGGGGGAACCCTCTCGCGCGGTCGAGCGCCCTTTCGAAACGACCCATACCGCACGAGTACCGTACCCGTACATTACCATGTAGGGCCAATATCTATCGTGGCGAGCTCCACTCTCAGGAAGCCATAACCTATTCACCGCCGTCATCTTCCCCCACCGCCACCATCCCCCCTTCCTGAACGACTACTCCATCACCTTCCTACTCCTCTGTCTTACAGATGTGCAGCGTGTACAAACCCCAGGCGACTTCCAATATCAAACCCCTCAACCAATGGCACAGTTCCACATTCTAGTGAACGACTTCGCACTTTATCTCCCAGTATGACGCACGCCCGGATGCGGCATCAGAAGCCTATCGGAAATACCCAAGTCCACCCATCCATCGGTCGTTCAGGTGGCGTCATTCCCGTTCAGCAGGAGCTGACACATGCGACGGTCTAGCTGGTGGCGAAATTTGAACCTGGTGGCGAACTTCATCACTCTGATGGATTCCACCCGACGGCGGGGTCCGATATTGGATAACTAATGCCCGGGGCAGCGTAGGATGATGGTATTTGGCGCCCGGCGTCCTGAGGGGATCAAGACCCTCCCTAATCGTAGTGCTGTGATTATTGCGAGAGTCCGGGTATTTAAGTCGCTGTGCCCAACCCGCACAAATCCGAAAACGCCCAATCAGAAGCTTATTTCAACCGGCGGTTCCCGGGCCAAGAGTCAATGTCGGACCGTTGGCAGACCATCTCCGTACATAAGCCAGCACCAAAGGCGCCCACCGATAGTTCCCAGGATGTGACCATTTACGTTTACCGAGTGATTTTATGTGATGAGGGTTTTGACGGCGGTTTATGATACCCCGCTGGCTGTAGGGTCACGTGGTGCCATGGGGAGAGGGGTTGGGGAGGAAATTTTTAAAAAAAAACTGAGATATTTTTCGCGATATGCGTTGCATATGATAACTACGTCGTACTGAGTTTTGCGCCCGTGGAATTTGTGTGCGGCATGCAGCCGGTTGCGAGAAACTAGATCGGGATATCAAATGCCCCCTCGTTTCCGAAGGGGTGTGGGGCCGGTTGCAGCGATCACCAGGTGGTCTCCTTCGTTTGCTTTGATTCGTGATTCCCCACCAGATTGCGGTTGGGAGCATTCAGATGATGTTTTCCCGCAACCTACCCACCCAGAACCCTTAGGGCCTGTTCGGCGGGAACGGAACCGTTCCGTTCCCCCCCTACAAATGACCGTTTCCTTCCGTTCTGAAGATGCCAAGACAACCATTTCCCCAGCAAAAATCATCAACGAACGGAACGGTCCACCCGCCTACCGTTCCTGCCGAACAGGCCCTTATAGATTGTTAGCATAAGATTAAACACGAAGAGGGAAAGGAGATAAATAAAACGAAACACGGAAGTGTTTAAAGATAAAAATATGAAAAAATAAATTACATCATACCGCTCGATCCCGTATGATGGTCGGTGGTTTACCGGTATCAACTTTTCCCCGCGAGTATACAACCGCATTCGAGGTAACGGCACGAGCAAGGGCGAAGCGTCGCGCTCCCACCGCGCACGAAAAAGAAACAAGGGGCGGTGAGGATGGGAGAGAGAATGTGCGCAGCCATGCGGTGCTCGAAGGACTCGGGCGCCAGCACCATTGGTCGATTCTTGAGCTGCGACTAAGGATGTTGGTGGCACAAGGGAGTATTGGGCCCGGGAAAAGTGTGTTTTTACGGTGGGGCTGGGAGGGGGAACCGCCGGCGGGAATTTTCTAATCAGGTAGTCTTATTACATACCCTGATGGGGCTTCGACCGAGGGTAGTGTACAGTACCTGTAAAGGACGTGTTTGGGCGAAATTTCCCGCCACATCTGTATCTGTAGGAGTGGAAAGATACGGGTACCAGGTACAGGTGCCCGGGGCGACGTTCTCGTGCACGACAGGGGTTACTTTTTGCTGGTTAACTCTCCTGTCGAGTAAGAAAATTTATCCCCGGGTACTTGTACTTAGGGTACTCGAGTATGCCTTGTCCTATTAACTCCGTATTAACCCTTATTGGAAAGAGTTGCGGGCATCATCGATTTTGGGGTGGAGGTGGTGGTGCAAGTGCCGCAGTTCCGGGCAGTAGCGCAAACATGCGCAGGATTGGTTGCAACAGCTGTGCTCAGTATCGGTACTGCACATACACATACACAGCATAAGAATTTGTGAACCAAACCATACAGTCAGACACAGGAGAAGGGAGCATGAATGCGTGAGGGGGGCCGGGAGGGGGATGCCACAAACCTTTGCAACGCTCTTTTTCTCAGCCTTGCCTCACCAGGCGGTCGAGTATGGTATTCTCATGGCACAACGACGTAACACTGCATGTTGGGGGAAATCCGCTTTGGAGCAACTCTGATAGGTCGTGTGCCGATTGTGATATCTAGTATTCCAATCGGTTTGATGTTCGAGCGCTGAATGGGTTATACTCAGGGTGTGGTTGGAGAGATGCACACCAACCGATCGGCGCGCCTGCTCTACTCACTCCATAATTATGCGGTAGTATGGACGAGGCTGTAATTTTTTGACAAAAACACTCTCCCGGACCCACCACCACCGCTTGGTTATCTGGACACTCGTGCTCTACTCGAGTACTCTTCTCCAAATTTAAATAATGAAATGTGGGGTTTTGCATCCCACGATGGGTGCCCGGAGGGTGGAAGTTTTTGTTCCTGTGTCTGCCCGATTCAGAAAGCGTACCGATTAGTTCAGCTGCTGGTTTGCGTGCCCTAAAATCCCTAGCCCCCTGTTCTTGACCGACGGGTAAAGGAGAGAGCGAGAATGAGAAAATGCCATTACCCTTCAAGTGCCGCCCTTACCACCTCCCACTATTTGCCATAGGGGATGGACCCCACAAGGGCGCGGTAACAACACTATCATATCATATCATACAACCGGTGGGCTGCAGAATGACCTGGTACCTAACACCCAAAAAGCAGGTTAGAAGTGTAGAAGCGTAGGGTAAGCCTCACCATTCGACCACTCGTAATTTTATGCCGCTTGTGAACACAGCTGCTATTGCATATTGGCAAAAATCGACCGGCGCCGCAAGGTTTTTGTGGGACGCAATGGCAATCGTGCCCACAACCGCCAGGAAATTACAGTACGAGTGCATCGAAACCCGAAAATATAGATTCATACGGAATATGACCATTCCGAGGTGTTGCCGGATTAATACGCTACGGTTACCAGACGTAGGGTTATATTTGGGTGAGGAAGAATTGCACCACCAACCTAACTTACAGTTCCGCCTGTAAAAAAAAACCCCCCCCCACAGGGCACAACCTTCACACCACATATTCCCATCCCGCACCCTAAAATATACGCTCTCCATACCACCGAAGCGATTGCCGGGATGGTATTGTGTTGCTAACTTGCTATCACCACGTTGGCCTACCCAAGCCCGTTAGAGATCTTAGCAGGAGGTAGGAACTCGCGAGAAACGGTACTCGCCGGTACATATCGGTTCGTATGATGCTCGCCGCCGAACTGGGACCCCCCCGTCCACAGGCCAAGATGTCGGACCGAGGCTAAAAAGAGAGCATGTAATCATTTTTTAAATGCTATAATAAATACATCTACAGTCTCATCCTACGGCAGGTCCCGTACAGCCCACAAGAGAAGAAAATGAAAAAATGAGAAAGAGTGAATTTGTATGGAAAGCCATGAAGGAAAACGAACGTGGTGTTTCCGCACCGCAAAGCCAGAGTAGACCAACTCACCAATACCCCCCAACAAACGAACCAACAAACCTACCGCATTAGCTACGCCACCACCAGAACCATGATTATATGATCGCGAATATTTTCTTTCGTAGTTCCGCAATTAATGTAGTAGCCGGATATCAAGGGTGAAGATCCTCGCATTCCGGGCAGGGACCATCATGTTCTTTTGGGGAGGGGGGGATTCCAATCACTGAAAAGCTCTCTCAAGTGACTCAAGGCATATCTGCGCCCTGCGTCTTTCCCCGTTTTAGCTGCCTCTTTTTCCTCACAGCGCCTACAGGATGCAGGTTCAGGGTAGAATCCAGTTCCCCACCAGGTTTCGCGAACGCCGCTTCACCCTCGAGCCAGTCCGAAGCCACCACCGGAGCACCGAATGATTTGCGTTTCGTCCGAGCGGAACCCGCCGGAGACAAGACCCGTTCCAAGGCAGATGCCGAAATAGCAGCGACGTTTCGTGCATTGGCCTTAACCCGCATATTACGATCCTCAGTAATTAAAACAGCCGCTTCATAATTGGCGTAATCCCCGGGCATCGCTTGTCTCCGTGCCTCCCCTTGCATTCTCGTAGTCTCGATGATAATGTCATCAATCTTGCGCTGCTCATCGTCTCCAGATTTATCAAGTTGTTCCTTGTAGCCAATACTCGTAACATTGCTTCCCTTAGCAGTAACAACCTTCACATCCCGCTTTTCAGTGAGGGCCTCGTGGATTGCAATCATAGCCGCCTTTGCGGCATCGCCAACGGGGCTTGTGCTGTTCGTCAAGCCAAGGAGCTCTGTGATCACTGCTCAGACGGTCAGTGGGCCTCATGGCCAGTATACACGGGTCGACATACCAGTATTGGGTATCACAATAGACCAATTCAGTGTTGACACCATAATTTTAAAGACCTCAGGCTGACTGAGCAAAAGATTGGTATCAACGACCAAGATCTAGGCAAATCATGAGCATTGTTCAATAGCCAGAGAGCGCAAAACTGACCGAAAAGTTCTCTTTTAGTGACTCTGGCCCCTTTGCAACTGCTTGTCTGGGTTCCTCCGCCGAACCAGCAACCTTCCCGCCGGCCCTTAACTGGGACTTGAGCTGACGCTGTTGCTGTTTGAGACGCCTGACTTCCTCGGACTGCCCCACCAACACATAATCCCCATCCGACTCGTTCTCCCCGCTGGTCATGTCTATATCGGAATCCTCTGAAGTTGGTGTCATCCTTGACCCGCCCAATTCCTGCCCGTGGGCAATCGTCGCCTCTAGCTTCTGGTGCTCTTCAATTCTCGTTATCAAAGCCGGGTGAACCCGAAATTTCCCATCAGCGTAGACCAAGCATTCGCCATTCTTCAAAAGCGTCAGGTCAGTAAATCATAAGAAAAGAAAGGAAAGAAAAAAAAGAGGAGCTCTGGAAGGATCTCTCTTACAGTGGCAACTTGAGTGGCAAGCCACAGGATACGCTCGATACGAACATTCTCCATAGAAGGCACCTCGACGGAACGTTCCTCTTCATCCACCTGCGCATCTTCGAACCAACGATTAGGGAAGTACTTCCGGGCCCATTCGAGGCCTCGCAAAGTGTAATCTTCCGGAAGCGGTCTCCCACGACCCTTCTCCGGAACCGGAAACTCCTTGCATCCAAACCTATCCTGGTCGGATTGCCCGACAAGATTATTCAGCATAGAAACCAAGTGTTCCCATGGAAACTCGTTTTCCAATAACCGGACCGCGCGCTCCGATCTGACTACATAGGCAAGAAATACGAGCCATATGTGGACATGAGGTAATACGTTCGAATCGCCGACTCGCTGGAGGGCAACGCTGAGAATCTCATATGCCAGTCGTTTGGAGAAGTTCAAAGACTCGGCAGTGCCATTCCGAGACTTTGCATCAGCTTCCTTGGCTTCCGAGCCCGACTTCAGGTTTGCCTTGCGTGGGTAACGGTTGTCTTCTTCCAATTTGGAAGCCGGTTGAAGCATAGACGTCACATGTTCGGAGCTGGCCCCAGTAGGGAGGGGTGGTAGAAGACTGTCATCGAACTCTGTAGTGTTCTCGTCAACCACTACCGGAGGCGCATCCTCCATACTATCCTCCTCCGGGATGTGTCGGCTTTTCCCTTCGCGCAAGGCCAACCGCAGAAGACTCTCCCTCGCGCCGTATTGAGAAAGACCAGTTATATTGCAAACCGCGATATAAGCGCCCGAAACCTTTGCAGGAAAAAAAAATTAAGCGAGGCGCCCTAAACTGAGGCATTAGAGGGAGACCTACCTTCCAATCAGAGTCCGTCTTCCCAATATTTTGGTCCAGGTTATCCAGATAATCGAATAGGCAATCGTCAAACTTTTCAAGGTCGATATGAGTGAAATTGATGCCATGGAGCTGAATGAATCCTGCGTCGACATGGTGGTTCTTGCTGGCGTGTTCAGGGGAGAATACCGGGTCGAACAAGGTTAATATGCTTTCTCTGGCCGGGAAGAAGGGTTGTGTTACGGCCAAGCTTTTGCAATAGTAAAACAACTGCTGCAGAACGTTGGGTCTAGCGAGGATCGCCAAATGATGGAATAAACGGCCAACAAATGGAGTCTTATCCGTAGCCTTCGAGTACCAGAACCTAGCGACGCCAGCCCAGACGTCACGATCTCGGGCATCGCCGTCTTCGACAGCCATTCGATAACGACCGAGATCGCCGAGACATTCAACCCATGTGTTTTCAAAGGCAGGGACGGTCTCGTACACTACAAAGTCAATACCACTAGTATAAATTGTGGGACAGAGATCAGGGGTTTAAAACTTACACAGCGCCATCATGCTATACGCAAGATAGATAAATGTCAACATATGCTCCAGTGAGTATGGTAGCCTGTGTCGAAGCAATTCCAGAAAGCTGTGTATTCCGTGTCTCCACATCCGAGCCGGCATAGCGTACTTGTCGGCCAATCGCCTTAAGGCAGGGCTAGCGCTCGGATGCTGTGAGGCCAAAAAAAAGTCGTGATGCTCATGCAGCAAGGTGCGATGCAGAGCAATCAATGCTTGCCACTGTTCGTCATTCAGACGAGGCTGTGTCTGGTCGTCGTCAAGTGTTGCGGCAGCTTGCTTAGCATCCACCTCGTTACATTTTGCCTCAACCATCACCAAACCAGCATAAATACCCTTCACTTCGGCGATGAGCTGCTCGGGACTGATTGGTCGAGTCTCCGGCTGCCTGACCAGCCGTGTTTCATGCTCTTGGAGCGCCGGGTCGCCGTGGAATGGCGGTGGTCGCGCCTGGCGCCCCTGCGATGGCTGGGTAGTCTGCTGGGATTGCTGCGCAAAGTTCTCCAATATCATCATCTGCCCGCCTTCGCGGTTATGAGGAGCTCCCTGGGAAGTGGGTGGGGCTACCTTCCCCGTTGTGGCATAAGGTACCGATCCCCTCTTCCGGGTGCCCCTCGCCCGGGGGAGAGCGCGTGGAGGCGGATTTGGTTCTTCAAGTCGCTTAGTCGAGTCCTCTTCACCCTTAAAGACAACGGGGTGGTCCTTCTCCGGGTCGAACAGACGGCGGGATGCCGTTGCTCTAGCGGCCGCTCCACCCTCGTTATCTCCGTACTGCTCCGGCTTAAAACGTGAACGATCAAAATCAGGGTCTAGAGGCGCCCTCGATAATTTTTGTGCGGCCCTCCCTGATGAAAGGTCAGCATAGGACAAGCGATTGGGAGATCCCCGATTACCCGAAGTTCCCCTGCCCCCGGCTCCGGTAAACGACCCCCTCACAGTAGCTCCCCCCGCCCTCGTACGCTTCGGCTGACTCTCACGAGGCGTACTATGTGTGGGCGTTGGCGGGCCGCCATCCGGAGCCGAGTCGGGACCGTTTCTCTTTCTATTTATCAAACGAGCCTGTGAAGAGGCGTCGGGCATTTGAATGTCTGGATGTTCCAGCCTTATGTCTGAAGTACCCTTCGCAATGTCATCGACGTTGCCCCCGGAATGTGCTGACAGGCCGGTCTGATCCCCAGATTCCATTTTAGGACCCATTCTTTGTCCACCGGGTTCCTTTGAGGCGGCGACATCTTTGGAACTCCATCGAACGAATGCATTTGAATTAGGTGGTGACGCTTGTATATTTTCAGGACGTGACGGTACATCCGCTCTAAACATAAACCGGCACTAAGCTACAGTGCAAATACACCAACAGGGGACGGGAGGGGGAGAGGGGTGTTGAGGAGGAATTGGTTGGATCCCTTTTTCCGGTGCCCTCTCGCGCGACCCCTCTAAAAGAAGGAATGGCATTGTACATACCCTTTTCTTTGGCATATTTCTTTCATGTGGGTCCGAAAACGCTGGAGTTCAACTTCATCCCGAGGGCACTTCTCCTGGTGATGGGTGGTTATGTGATTCCACAAGCCCCGCTCCAGATTACACACCACGCGGCAGAAGTTGCACTCGTATGATTCCTTACTTTGTCTCCGCCTGCTTTCGACAATTCTCGACTCAATATCGAGGGCGTGACCGGTGCCCCCCATAATGAAGTGTTTTACTAAATTAAATTTTCCTTCGACAATGAGCATCCGGGGGACCAGAAGCGAGAGGAGGAAGCACACCTTAATTCGTGTGCGGATTCCGCAGTCACTTTAATGCGGCCAACGGCCGTGGGTCAACCCGAGATGCCCGCCAAAGGTAGCACAGCACGATTGCCGAACTTGAACTATTCCTAATCCCGGAATATTGTAGGGAAGAAAGATGGTATAAATACGGATGAGCTGATGCGTGAAAACTGCAAGAGTTGATTTGGCTGAGGAGGGAGTGAGGACGGCCGGAAGAAATGGCGGCTTGGACGAGCAGCGGTCGGGGGCGAGGATCAGGCCTCAGTGGTATGAGGGAGAGTGAAATAGTCGACAAACGCTAGAGAGGAGAATGTGAATGCTATATAGTGTGCTTGGGTGCGCACCGAGGGAGATGTTTGAGTGCGAAGCTACCGTACGGTACTTGTATGCCTAAGTGAACAACAGCCTGTGAGCAAAAAAAATCGGGGGAAATGAATTTGAGCCTCTGGCGCACCACGCACACCACAGAAATAAATAAATAAAAATGAAAAATAGTATTGGCACGCAATGAAAACTGTGTTGCTGCCTTCCCTTGGATGCCAAGGCATGCGCTGTGATTCCGCCACGGTGCGAGAGAGATATTCCTCTCCATTTCGAACCGAATTATCAACTACGAGAAGTGCGAAGAAACTGGTAGGGGCGTGCCGTAGTATGACCTCAGTACTGTACGTGTAGGAATGTGGTGTGAATAATACTGCGCACTGAGGATTGCCAGTAGTGTGGGCTGCTCCGTGGGTCGTATCATACCGACATGATAGGTCAGCTTGCCGTGCTCGAGCGGGTGTGTAGCTCAAGTTATACTATAGCAAAGGCAAGTGCCATGCCCCTCCCGATGATACTATACTCTACTCTACGAGCATGCTCTGCTACGGTACCCGCCCGGCTATTTCCCGGACCGGTGCAGTACACCACACGCAGTACGGCACTCTGTATGATGGCACTGTACAGTAACCCAGAACAAAAGAATCGCCATGCCTTTCTCCCCAATTCATACGCCAGTGTATTTACGCATGATATAAAATGACGAGATTGCGTTTTCTACTTTACTCCAGCTCGCTCTTCCAGATCCCCTACCTACCTCCCCCCCTTTTCAATCCCCCCTTGCCTCCGGGAAAAGGCCCTCTTCTCTCCCATTAACCCATAGGTTACTTTCTCGAGTCCATACTCGAGTACCGGTAGTGCTCATTTTGCGCCTACGGTATGCCTACTCGTACGCTCGCCTCGTCGCTATCACATGATCCACGTCTGGGTAACTACGAGTACTCGTAGGTGAAGGCTACTGTTTGGGGACTACCGGCACCCTATAATATCAACTCCGGTCGATAGCAAGCCTTGCCGGCCGATAGCTAGAGCATTAGCACCATATTGCAGCATTCGCACCTCGCGTTAGAGCGGGCAACCTGGCCCCGCAGTTAAACCACACCCTGTTCGGAGGCCAGGCCCTGCTCCTTGCCTAAGGGAGTGGCTTCAAGAGCCGTCCTTGGTGAGGTGATATTAACCAGCCAATACCTACCTTCTTATCCCCAAAGCCCGCGGCAGAGGAGGGGGGGGGGGGACGTATCATAGATCAAACCGCAGGTCAAACTCCTCCAGTCCACAGGCAATGCCGGTGTGAAAGGAGAGCAAGACGTCGGTTCGCTCCACCAAGCTGTCCGACCAGTGGCATCTAGGCCAGCATTGCACCGCCTATACCGGCATGCGTTACCCGCCCTAGACAGAGGAAAAAATGTGCTGCCATCTCCCCCTCAACCATGGGCGGCTGGCGAGAGTGAAACGGGTTGAAGGTCTTTCGCAAGAGTCCGGTAGCCGCAGCAATTGTACGGGGCATCATCACACACACGGTACGAGCACCTTCAATACCGGTACTCCGGAGGCAGGGTCGAAGCCTCGCAATTGCCGCGAAAGCAACCCCTATGTCAGATATCATACGTGACACCACCACCCAATGCCTCCCCAATACCGTAAGTTACTGGACAGCACCAACACAAAACACAAACCCTGGCTGACGCGTGTCGGGGCCACAAACACACAATAAATGACGGACTGCGCACAATTGTTGTCCTGCAATCGGCGAACAGAGCACCCGTACCGGCACTCTGACGAAGGCTTGGGTATCATATGGCATGCAATGCCTTGTTGACATTGTTATTTTCGCTTCTATCCCAAGCAATGTTTCAGAAAACTGTTTCGCGCCGCCCCCAGACACCATTAGAGATTCCGGTTTGTATTAAAACACAAGGGTAACACACAGCCTTCTTTATCCCTTCTATCATCTGGACCCCGATGCCTACAAGTACTGTACTCGTACTAGTACAGGCAACCTCTAATACAATCACTTGGTTTGAATTACATGGAACACGATACATGAGTGACCATGAACTATTGTGCACTAGCTCCAGCTTGATCTCCCCTAGTAGATGAAGCAGGGCGTCACCATTGGTATTAGGATCTGGACGCGAACATTCACGATAAATGATCCACCTCCAAGCTGTTTCAATCTCTCTGGGTCGGCTCGGTCTGCCGGCGAAATATTCCCCTCGAATACAGCGTCCGTCTCAGTTAGGCAGGCCCAAGACTTGTGCCAGCTCTCCTCCGGGTGTAAACACCGTCGGCCCAAATGACACCCCCCCACCCGCAGGCGCTACACCCCCCGCTGTAATAATCCCAGGGAAGCACTCACTAGAGCCTGTCACCGCTCCGGATAGAGCGAGCATTAGTATTACAAATTTCAAAAGAAAGCCGCACTTGTGAGAGGGAAATTTCATATTTCATTCCTTTTCTACTTGAAAATAGCACGAATATGCGCAATCTATTGAGAATGCAAATTACCATTAAGGATTACTGTATTACCTAGCGGCGAGCAATACCAGCGTAAGGCTTCCAAGGCTTGACCTGCCGATTTCAGCTGCTCCCTTCGCTGCGAAGGCCCGAAATATGGGCCGGGGCGCAGGAAGGTGGTATATCGGAATCCTTCCTTTGCCGTGGGATATGCTGCTCAGCATCTGACATGTGTCTCTGGACCCAAATGTCTTCAAGAAAGATCATTCGCAACAGTTGCCCTTACATATCAGAATCGTGAACTCTGTAGATATAGCTGCCCAACCAGGGATTCAGCCCTGCTTTCCCCAGTCCTTTGCGTGCGATCCATACCATAGGCGTAACGGCATTAGTACTCGAAAACGGTCAAACACAATAAGTTTCCCCTCTTCCCCCCCGAAAAAATAGGGGCAGGCTTTAAATGCCCGAAATCCGGATACTAACCCCAGGAGGTGGGTGTCTGAAAGTGGTATAAGCCTCCCAAGGAGTCTAGAATACCCCCTCTCGACCCGGGTCGGCAGGGGTAGTCACGATTAAACTAAAGGAATACGATGAGGATCTGGGGACAAATGGGGTTTGAAACGATTCGGTACTGGCAACATAACCACCGTATCGACCCGATAAGCTGGTTTCGTATCCCGAGTCCTGCACAAAGCATTGATCCTGCCACTGCGGCGTGAGCTAATGCGCGACTCGAAGGAAACAATGTGGTAGATCACCTAACAACCATCAAATGCACGGAACCAACGTAGGACTAGCGTAAGAAAACCTTATCCTAACCACACATTGACACAAAGCGCGCCCTGGGGGTTCCGAGTCATGATATGGTTGTCATTATAATAGGACCGCCAGCGAAAAGTGGAAGTCCTAAGCGTGGAGCTTTAGCAAGTAGGTATAGTATCATAGTGGGTAGGTAGGTATGATGGGCAGTAGGTAGACAATGACAGCCAAACCCGCGGCCGAAAAGGGGAAGAAAAAACACAACTCTCGCCCTTGATGGCGATCAAAACCTAGGTATCGTCAGCCGCCTTAGAGTGAACATCGAGTACGGTACTGCTGCCTACGCCTATACTGACGAAATATTAAACAAACCCAAAGTCTTATCGCAAGGTAGGCTCAGCTTGCTAAACCACATCCAAGTTGCCTGGATAACAATAACGGTAGTACCGACCGTTCGAAGTACACCGAGTTAGCAGAAAGGAGAAAAAAGAGACTCCTCGAGGTGAAGTGAATAGGACAAAGCCGTCGTGGCAATAACCCGGGTAGCTGGTCGCGAGAATAGTTAGCTGAACCGTTGTAAATGCTGATAGGGCTGGAAGAGGGGTGACGCTTACGGCATGTCTAACACCCTACCAGAGTAGAAAGGTTGCTACCATATCGGTGGCACCATATTCCCGAGAGCGTGAGTCCGACTCTCCACTACTAGTACTGTTAGGTCCTGTCTATCCCATAACAATCCAGCGTCGTATGGGATCGCGATTTTCCATTACCGGTAACAGGCTGCACACTGTGTAAGTAGATCACTTCCCGATGTTAAGCCGCGTGCGCGCTACTATTAGCCATTTTTTAAAGTCTTCGTAGTGCAGGTGATGGTCCGAGTTATACCACTTGTTTGCTTACACATGGGCCACTTAGACTTTTCATGCGAGTGGTATTAAGGACTTACACCCTTGCCAAGGAAACACTTACCCCACAGGCCGGATGCCTTATATCGAGCTATTTCCGGAGACTTTAAAAAACGGCTAGCACTGTACGAGTACATGCCTCATGGCACTCCACCGGGGAGACTATATCCTTCAGCCTTACACCTCTAAAGGGGTGCAGGTGCAATCTTGCACCGCATTGAGGTTACGTCCACCGCCATACGGATACCTTCTGCCTGGTCTCAAGATGCCAGCGGCGTAACCCTGAGCGCTTCGGCTCCCGAACACCAACCCCACCAACCTCACACCCTAACTTCGCACCGGGATTCTCGAAAGGGTGTTTCCTACGGCGGATTCGGAGTATTCGGGGCGGACAAGACAAAATACCCATGACTAGAAGAAGAGCTGTGGGCGAACGCCTTCAACCCGTACCGGCATTTTTATACACGAGTACCGATGAAGGTATGTGGCTACCGTATTGCTCTATAAGTAACGGGGTTAATAGAAGGTGGAGTGCGAAACACTTGTTGCACTTTTACCGCTATTTGATATGAGACCTCACGTACTCGTATTGTACATGGTTCCACGGGGCCCACTCGCTGTGTCACTTCCCTTGCTCTCTCCGCGCACATTAGGAGACTTGAGACAGGCATGCACTCCTCGAGTACATGTACAAGTGCCGGTACCTTTTCAACAGGTGTAGCTCCAGGCACACTACCGGTACCGCTCTCGCACCGCACCTACTCTATCCCGGTCCCGGCAGGCATGTACCCGAGCACCGGCGTCGGTTGTGGCCACAGCGAGGTACTCGAGTAGAAGGGGCACTAATAGTGGTGTTTGGGAGCCACATCGCTCAGGACTAAAAACCGGGGACAAATGAAGCTCCAAAGCATGGCTGGCAAGGGTTCGGGAGGGGGAGTCCAATCAATGAAACAAAAGGGCAGAGTGACGCCTGAGGCAAGTACCCGCAGAATATGGAATATGACTATCATACCAATTGGTCTTTCCCCGCCCTCCTCCATCCTGCCGCTCTCGTACCCTCCCTCCCCCCTCCGGGATCGTGGTTCGTAATCTAGAACATCAACCTTCGCACATTTTCGATACCGGTATGGACATGATGCCGGCAGTCCTGTTCTGCGCAACACATTCTTTTATCATACCTGTCAAAAGGTCTTTACGGTGGAGCTCTCAGGTTCTGGAGCCTAACTGGGGTTACACAGAGGATCTCTTCGGGACTTACGATGAAGACGTATCTGAGCATAGGTTATGTTTTTGCCCCAACTGATGCTCTAGCATCACTGGTGCAGTACGTAAGTCCTCTTGTTCAGCCTTCTGTTGACAATACTGGTATCATGACACTGCTCAGTAAGGACATGATCGTCTATGACATGTCCATAGTTCCCGGAGGCTCTGGTCTAACCAAGTTGACAGAAGGCATTACCCCACCGGCGTCACACGATGGAGCTCGACTCTACGTGCGGTAATACCCCGCACTGGGTGAACAATAATCAAATACCGTAGCCTCTACGGGAAACAAGTGCAGATGTAGAACCGACGTACTTGCGTCCTATGCGAGCAATCAAGCGAGTGTTCATTTAAATTACCGCCACAAGTCTACCCATCCACCCAATAGGCGCAACTTTAGGTGTTTATCTTCCCAGCGACATCCCCACTCGGCCCCGAGCAAAAGTATCTCCACTTTAATCGACCTTCCGCTTCGCTACGAGTACCATCCCAGTCAGTGCTACTTGGAGGCCGAGAAGGTGGGTGGAGATAGGCGAGGGGGGGCGGTGCCTAAGGGGTTAAGAATCGTGAACCTCCCGGCGTTCGGGCACCGTACAGCATTGGTGAGGTAACAGTGCCGCGGGCTGGGTGGGTAGAGCCAACATAAAATCTCTCTGTAGGGATCGCCCTTATGTCGTGCTTGTAGTACGAGTACTCAAGCACTAGACTTCGCACCGGCACCAAAACCGGGCTATGCAAAACGGGGAAGGGGGAGCAAAACAAAGCTATTAATAACAGTATCGTTTTCGTTCAACCATACTGTACCAGTGATGCGAGCCCTTCTCTTTTACCTTTTCGAATTTACCGGTTTTTCCGCAGTTCACGAGATGGCTGGGTAGAAACGCTCGATGGGATCGCCATGACGGGACGCACGGATGGGAATGCACGCACAAAATCCCGCGCGGGGCTTGCACCTATCCACTCGGCCTTTGGCATGGGGGAGCTCTCACGCCTGCAGTGCTTGAACAATCTCGTTTTCTGCTGGATACCCCCTTTTCCCCATACCGTTATGTTTTACCGCCCTCTGCGCTCTGAGGGGGTTTTTTTTTTCCAATGAACGGGCACGTTGGGCAGGTCATGGGTACTGTTTTACTGATGTATCGGGCCATGGCTTGGCCGGGCTCCGTAGAGTACTTGTACCGGTATGCCTTTACAGTGGATGGGGGTGGCTGTGGAGATGTTATAGATCCCCGTATGATAATGACACCCTGCCTCACGGATACCGGTACCTTCCGCGTAAAGTACTGTACCCGAGTACAGGTCAATGGTGCCTCCGAGTCAGTTGTACAAGTACTCGTACAGGCAACAACACTACTCGTACGAGCACGGCATCAGACGATCGGGCGCCACAGCAATCTCCAACCAGGCAAGTCACAACGGACACCGTACAATACTCGAGTACTGACTGGTACAACACATGTAATAATAATAATAATAACGGGCCCAAAGTGGAACGGCCCGCAAATCGTTGAATGAAGATCATACTCGAGTACTATCCCCCAGCCCAGGCAGAAAAGCCCAGAGTGCGCACCTTACAAAGGACTGAACACGCCCCCAAATCTTTTCGCACTCTGCGCGAGTCCGACGCCACAGGGAGAGGGGGGGGCGCGGGGGCGCTACTTTGTGGTCCAATTTCGTCTACGAGGATGATACGGTAGGAGCACTCCATACCTCCTTCTTCTTTTCCCTTTTCTAACCCCAGGCACCGCCCACTAAGGGATGACACGGGATAGCGTTCGAGTACTGTACGAGTACACTCAGCGATAATCCGTCACCCTGATCGCGCGGCGTTGTACTCGTACGTTTTGATGGATGATACCAATATTATTGGGCATGTTCGCGCTCACTGGCACAGCATAACTTAGTCGAGTACCAAGTACTGGCAACTCGGACAGCCGGTGGGCCAAATAATCCCTGTCTTGTATACAAGTATATGCAAGGAAAAGATCTGCCCTACGGCACCGGTGCTGGTGCTCGTACGGTACTGTACTATGTACTCGAGTACTCTGCCTTTATCCATTACCCGTGGTCAAAGAGATCGGTGGAATACCGGTATTCGAGTACCGGTACTGTAAAGTAGGTCTCGGCTTGAAAACCCCAGTAATTTATTTCCAATTGAGGAGGGGTACGATACTTTCCGGATCCCGTTTGTTTTGTTAACTAGATTGGGAAGCGGGGGACTCCTCAGGGGGGGCTGAGCGCAACCCAATAGGGACGTCTTTCCTAATTTGACAACGCCAAGCTGCCTTGAGACAGTGTTGCATACAGTTTATCGTGAATATTCCCACCACAGAATCAAGAATCAAGAATATGGACAGCGTCAACTCTATGCACTGGAGGCCTCTTGGAAGCAAGCATTCCTTTTTTTATTGTTGAAAGAATTCGGTTGTGTAGCAGCGATTCATTTCTTTCCTGTAGTGTTTTTCTTTTTCTTTTTCCAATAATCTCCAAGTCACTTGTTATGCGCACGGCCTCACCGCCTGGGAGTCTCCGCGAAGCGCAGTGCATAACCGACAGTGGCAAAGGGTGCCAGGTACGGTATGTACGAGTACGAGTAGCGGTAGCACAGGGTAACGAGCTGAGTCAGCGCCCTCCGTCCAAGCAAAATGCCATATCTCCGTCCCGGAGAGGCGGACCCTCTCGCTAATTACCTATCATTCTCGGCACCCTATCAAGCACGAGCGGCTCAGAGTCTACCCGTAGAGCATCCGGACTCATTGTCATCGAATAGTACTGCATCCCTTCGCTTTGGCCGTCCACACACCAATGTAAGCTCCAGCTCTGAGTAATGGAACACGGCCGACCAAGACATAGCAACAAACCAACCGCCGCAGCTTCTCCAAGTTTGGCCACAAGTGAAGGAAGCATGGCTGATCGGTCAATGGGGCTCCTGGATAAACACCGGATTGTGGTCAGAACAGCACAGCAGCACCGTACAGTTCAGCAGGCGTAGGGCAAAATCGCCCGAGGGGGATAATTCCGATATACGATACTGTACGAGTACCGCTGTCAAACGTGATTCAATTACGTGTCCGAGCTACCACAGTACCGGTACAGCGGAAATTTTCCAATACTTCAACCAATTTGCCCTAATTCAGCCAGGAGCATCAAACGTATTCAGCGAACCCCTCGGCGGGCCAATTCACTATGTGGACCCGGGGAACAAACCTCTTTACCGTACCCGTTCACCGGGGAAAGTTAGAGTCGGGGCGAAGATCTGGATACTTTCTGTCGGCTACAGTCTTCGATGATCAGTATCATAACAGACCTTTTTTTGTTTTTGTTACCCTACCACGCCGAATCCACTTTTTTTTTTCGTCCGCTTACCTTCCCCACTTCGCCACCCGCCAATTTCCCCTCTCCTGGTTGAGCTGCGTTTGATATGACATACCGGTGGTCAAACCTTGAATACTAACACCACTGGTCCAAATTTGCAAGGTAGTAGGGTAGTCAATTGAGATGTGCAGTTCAAATGTGCGCACCCACCGGCTGTCGAGTGTTTAGCCAATCCAAAAACCCCGCGAGCCGGTGCCCCCCCAGGGGGTCCGCCCAACATCGTGGTCAGATAACATTTCCAATAACTTATGCGTAGATTGGATGAAAGTATCGAGTGATTTCACTGTAATATTTACCTGTTTGCACACCCAGCGAGCCTGATCGGCTTTATGAGGGAAAACTTCCCCTCGGCGCCGAACTCGGCGTGAGTAGTTTATGATCCCTCGATATCATAGAACATGCCAGTGTTCCAACTTCTACTTCCGCACCGAGTTGTTTTTTCTTTCTCCCCCAATCCCTACAGGTATTGCACTTCCTATTCCTAGTACTTGCCCATACAATAGCGTTAATTTTTGGCTAGCCTTCAAAAACCTTTTTTCGGAGCCTTATAGATAGGTATTGAGGGGCGACTCTCATCACCGTCCATCAAACCCCGCACGAACAGCTGACAATTGACAACACTGGAAGCCTAGAACCCACGAATATAGCCCGAATCGTGCAAGAACGCGCCTCAGAACGCTTCAAGACTTTTTATCTAGCAAAGTGCCAAGTCAGGCAGCAGCAGGAAAAGGTGAGATTGAAGCTCAATAATAGATTCGCCGAGCGATTTCCCCCGCCGCCCCCTCGATTATCGTCCCCGGAAAGCCTCCGCAACGCATACATACCCACGAGCAGTTCTAGCCCGAAGAAAGTTGGGTGCAGCTAGCCAGCCTTATCTTATCTCACCTCACCATAATGTAGTAAGGAGGTGGATAAGGGTGTAACCACCCATCCTGTGAGCCTAGATGTAACTTTAATATCGGATTTTCATCGAAGCTCTCCCCCTCTCCTTTTTTTTTTCTTTCTCTCCCTCTCTTTCCAGCTCAGGCCCAGCTTGACGTAGGTTAGAAGTTACACGTATTCGAGCATTGGGCAGGAGTGAGTAAGTCTACTTGTAGCCCTTCTGGTCTACATACTCAATGCTATACTGGAAGCCAATCATCATCAGGTAACCCATTTCAATCGAAACCCCGCTATTACTGTAGGGCATTGCGCATCGAGAATTCCAGTCTAGAATGTCCCTCCTCCTGCATATTGCGCTCCCCGTGCACTGCGTCCCGCATATCCCGCAATCAACACGCAGAATCGCTGTTTGAAGTTTGAACCTCGACAACTCAAGTATCGGCGTTTTGACCTTCTTTGCGTCTTTTTCTTTTTCTTTTTTCCTTTCTTCTTTTCTCTCTCATTTATCTGTTCACTTGTTTGTTTATTCTGTACGGTTCTTGTTTAAGGTATCTAATTAATTTATCTTGGGGGGGGTTTTTTTTTTTTTCTTTCTTTTTTTTTTCCCTTATTCCGTCGATCCATGTTAAGTTATCCAGCGTTTGTTAGGGGTGGGAGGGTGCAGATGGGGAGGTGCACTGGAGAGTTGGCAAGCTGTGAACTGTGATGTTACTGTATGGGTACTGCATGTTGCCCGAACCGGGGTGGACGACCTCTAGTTCATTGGATGAATGGTAACCCTTGCCTGCGCATTGAGCCTCTTGCAGACCGCCAAGAATGCGGCTGCGAATGGACTGCGCGTGTTCTGGATGAGATCTACGAACTCGGTAGTCAAACCGCTGTGAATTCACGGGATGTCACTCGGTGCAGCCAACCCCCACCTCATGGCTAAGAAGAAGAGTATACTTGTACGTGAACGAGGTGCAAGGGATCACCCGGACCACTTCGACTTGTGGGGATGGGTTCCAGATCGCAAATTAGCTACGGGCAGGGGAGGAGAGCCTTGAAGGGGGGTGGTGGTGAATCGCAGTCTCACCAGCTGCGAGAGCTCCATGAGCTGGATGGCAGCCGCCCAATTGGCGAGGAATTCGAGAGGAACGCGGCGGATTCATAGAAGTGCTAGCTTCCGGAAACCGCAAGTCATACCGGGTCGAGAGTGTCGGTTCTCGGGTGCCTCCGGTTGGTAGCCTAATATATCTTGCGGCGTGGCACGTCCCACAGAGTTGTCCTTCAAGGGCAGGTGGTGCCATCTTCCCGGAATCTCGGGTCCTGTACACTACTCGAGTACCTAGGTAGATTTACCGCTGGTCGGGCTGAAGGAGGAATCCAATATGAGACAGTAATCGTCACTACCCTTCTAGGCGCCAAGGGAGTGACCCGAATGCGATGTCTTGTTGGTTAGCCGGGCAGAAGGGGGCGTGGTTAGTGTAACTTAGCAGCCCAGAACGGTAAGTTAGCCGGAAGCAGAACAGCCTAAGGAAGCTATGACAAGTATGTGGTGGGATATGGACCGCATTTTCTCTTGTGTGCATATATATATATATATATATGTGTTACATTGGGTGCCCGGGACTTTTGGGGGCTGGCGAGCTATCGGGGAGTCTAGACGTTAGAGTTTTGTTCTCATGGAGACAATTTTTTTCTTCTTCTCTATTCGTCTTCATGATATAGGTAGCATCGTAGCCACCTTATTTTTTTTTTTCCGCTTATAGTGGGATTGGGCGGGGTAGTGTTGGGGAAGAGGCCGGCGATGTAGTGTGCAGCAGGAATATCGGTCCCGTATGACCGAACGCCTTCTTCCTCTCTCTCCCTCTCAGTCTCTCTTCATGCTCTTACCCCTAGGCATGCGCCTTCCGCCGGTTACCTCACTCATCGCACCGGTCTCAGTTCGCAGGCTGAATCGATGCAGGGAGTTTCACCTCTGGGCCCGGGCCGCCACCATGGTGCATTCTGATTGAGCGAGCACGTAGTGCTAGTACATCCTCTTTGTGTGTTTAGTATCAGCTACCGGTAATGGAGCGCTCAAGCTAATGCGTGGTTCAGTCCTCCTCGTCGGAAGCCCCTCAAGCTCCGCACTTTCGTCCTCAGAATTGGAGACTATCCGTGCTCACTAGCACAGCGCCGGGTACCCGCACAGCGCACTTCATGGTGTGTGAAAGAGGTCTGAGAATGGCTTCTACAGACTGGGAACCCCTTCCCTCCCTTCTACATCCCATCGCGGTGCCGGTAGTTTAAACTAGGAGAGCAGGTAGGGTGAAAAAAAAAAAGGTGATTTGCATTATTCAAAACAAGAGAGTATCACACCGCACACGGTGTGACATACCTAGGAACAAAAACTGTACCGTGTGGATATCCCTTGGAGAAAGAGTGGAGCATAGGCAAGCATGGCTTTGTTGAAGGAGATTTGGGGAAGTTTTCTTTTACTATTAGAATACTTGTAAGCCGCTAACGTATCCCTTTTTTCAAAAAAACGCCGCATTTGCCGCCGCGACTTCGCACTCCGATGTCTTTCATATGGGGGAGGTTACACCTTATGCGCTAAACCCCATTTTGAATGTACGACTAATAGGGAAATATTCGGGGGTCGTGAGGAATTACCTATTTCTAGCAGGACCCCGTGCTGGCACTTTGTTCGAGGTCGGTGGTAGCCAAGGAGGCTTGAGCCGGCTTTTTTTTTCGATTTCGGGTATTGAGCATGGGTGGTAGACGTTTTCGAATTGTGCCGACAAGTGAGGTTCATGGATTTCTAATGGTTGAAAGGCAAGAGACCTAGTTCCCTTGCCCCATGACACTTGAGGGTGGGTTGTTGGCTGTGTTTTAGTTGTTCTATCAGATCAGCTGTCCCTACAGTGTCGGTATCACTGTTGCAACTACGGCTACAGCCCAATTTCCTCTTGTTTCTCTTCCAAAGAAAAACAAAACAAAGTTGACCACGAGATCCAAGGGGAAGCTAGCAAAAATTCCGACCAGCATAGGCAGGTATTCACCGAATTTCTCCTCCGTACGACCAGGGCATAGGGTTGTTCACGGGGCTACCGGTACTCAATTTCACGACGTCACCCAAGACCGGGCGCTAGGACGCCAGCACCGCCCAATCCCTAAGGCACGCGTGGAGAGGAACATTGCTGGCTCGCGGTAGTGCCCGCAGCCAGTTGTTGGGTAAGGCAGCCGTAAAAGTGTGTGGCCAAGGAAAGGGGTCAATGACCATTGAAGGGGGAGGGAGTGCCCTTCGAAACCGTGCAGTGCATACTCGAGTACTGTGTACTGGAATCGAAACCGTAAGGGAGCGTTGTAGATTGCAGGTTCCCGGCGGGGATGAAGACTGGAATCTGCCAGAGAAGTTATCCGAGGGAAGGATGACGGTATGGGGTGTATGAGGCACAAGGATGGTCTAAGGGAGGGTGCGCCTGCGAGGTCCATATTATCACCGGCGTTCGGTACATGATGGCACGACACAAATGATCACAGCCTGGTGATATCGGACCTAGTTGCAATGCCCCTCCTCGCACACAAGCCGAGCCACGACTCGGAAAGATACAAATGCGCTACAAAAGTAAGAAAACCCACACATGGCCCCAACTTATGACCAATCGAGACTAACGAATGCCTCCCATCAACCGCGCAAGAATGACCCCATATATTCTCCCGTTTTACCATCCCGGAGACCGCCCATGAGCAGCAACAAACTACCGGATCCCTTTAAAGGCTCCGAGAACACCGGGGGTTGTGCTGGTAACCCCCCAACAGCTCTGGATGCATACCGCTGTCGAACACGCAGATTGTGTCACTCGATTAAGCGCTTGGGCTGTGGTGCTTAAACACCAGGAGTGCAATTGTTATATGCTCGTACACAGGGCTAGGTTTCGTCGGTATGCAGCGCCACGTGCAGGAGGGTGGGAATAACCTGCTGCCGCATGAGGAACTACCACGACATCGGCATATTGCGAAGGGCGGTGCCAGGGTAACTGATGGCCTTTGCGTGACGTACACGGAGAGGTGTATCTATATTACAGAAAACCGGTGTCTATATGGCCTATTCCCGGATAAGAAGGCATATAGGCGTTAGTGGGTATGTTCTGCTACAGGTATGCACGGTAAGTAGGGAGTTCGTTGTTTGATGCATTTAGGAAGGTCAAGGGTAGTAACCCGCCGGATGCACACGGTATTGACTTATCGGACAGCAGGGGGAGAAAGTGTGTCCATGGCGCGACGCATTATAGACTGTACGATAGGCTCTCAGTCGTTCAGAATTTCTGGATATTATGCGAGGGAGAAAGATGTGCGAAGTCCTCGGGACATGGCGACAAGATGACTTCAATTCCGGCATGCGTCGTGGTAAGTGCGTCCATGATTCCGTCAACCTTGCGGGGGATGCCCAAACGGAGCTATCGCACGATCCGTAGCCGTCCGATCTCCATAGGTCCAATGAGGTATAGTAGGTTCGAGAAAAGCCTTCCGGCCCCAGTCCTTGCATGGCCCAGTTGTGCAAGATCGCCCTTCTTCCTTCAAGCCCCTCGATACCCGGGCAGGCCAGTGGAAGTAAGGGTCGGCCTTCTTTCTTTGGAGTCCCGACAGTCGAGGAATCATGCCCCTCCCCTTAGAGGAACATGATCTTCTGTTGGGCTCTGCCAGGCGATATGCGCCAGGCTGATTACTGGTATATGCGGTCTTCACAAGCTTTGACATACCGGAAGTTAGCAAAGGCAAAGTAGAGGAGCAGGAAGAAAAAACGAACCCATACAGAAACCGGGCGAACAAATATAATATGCAGCGCTCCTCGAGAATTGTAGCACTGCTGCCCCGAGGGGTTTACAGACCATATTCCGGGAGTCTAAACCCTCCGGCACTTGCTACAAGGCTTTGCGCATATGTATCTCTGAAACCATAACGTTGCTCTAGCCGGGGCTTCTACCGGTATATACTCGTATGTTGGTAGTTGTGGGTTGAAATATAACCCCGTGCATGTATCACATGTGCGCCTAGTATCGTGTTGAGCCGTAATAGGATACTGCACCGCAACTGGCAACAGAACAGGAGCTTCCTCAACTTTAAGTACGGAAATGTCTAGCATCCACCATACTATCCGAAATACTCGGGCACTAGCATTCACGTATGACCTAAGAATCAAGAATCGAGAGGGTAAATTACTAGCAGCCGAGGGACAGAGGGAACGGAGCTCACTCCTGACATCAGAATAAAGGCTTTCTGCAGGCCGGAATTAAAGATGCTCGATCGCTTCAAGGCCGATGTCTCCTTCTTAGGATTCCGCCCTGCTCGGGAACCCCATACCCAGAAGGGAAGGAGGAACTGCTGTGGAATTTCAGCAGTCTGGGGACACCAATTCCTCTGAGGCTCCCGAAGTTCTACTTGAGTAAGTCTTTAAAGTTTAAACCTAAACCAAGGAGCTCTCGGTTTGAACAGTGTCGTGGGAATCTCTTACTCAAATGTCTGGCATTGCATTGCGCTAGTGGGACGAGAGAATTTACAATCCTAATGTAAAGCAGGCTCACGAAATTACAGCCTCACTCACGATCCTTAGGGTCTCGGATACAGTGCGCCCCGCAAATAAGAAAGGAGAACCCATCCCTCCAATGCCACAATGAAGGAGGTTACCGTACCTCAAAAAATTATCGAAGGAGCTGGGACTCGTTCCTCCAACTGGGGGATTATATGACAGCCTCTTCTAAAAATAAAAAAAAGTTATCATACTCAAGAATTTCATACCGGTGTTGTGCTCGGCACCAGGCCTCGAATACCCTGGAATTCGGGAGTATTTTACAGTGTTCGCCAGGGACAATAGGCATGTTTAGGTTCAAATTCAGCCGATAGGATTATTGCTTCAGGAACTTTTAGTAATTCACTCGGCTTTTTCCTACCGTTTTTGCTTACTAATACTTAGAGAAACCCCTCTCGAGACCCGCTTTACAACATTGCACCCCACCGGGAGAGGAAATTGCACGATCCTCATGGTCTATATTTCTCCTATCATAAATTCCCGTACTTGAGTATAATTGGCTAGCTCTGGAGCAAGGGTTAATTTCCGTACTCAGAGACAAAAAACTCCAGGAGGGATTAGTGCTTTCCTCACACAAGAAAGCTGGAGTGTTCTGAGTGTGTTGGATCTCATTAACCGGTATTTTGCAATTCGGCGAATAACAGTGCTCAAAAAACGCACATCTGGAGGGGAAGTTTCTGTACTTGTAAAAGGTCAGAAATATATGAAAGGGATAATCCTGGCTCCTTATTAAACATGGCCCCCGGGTTTTAAGAGGTGTTTATCGATGTTTTTATTACTTGGGCATTCCTCCCCCTGCTGCATTACGCTCTTAGATTCAGCTTTTTGCTTATCGATTCTCAGCTCACGTTCTCCCCAGTTTAGTAGCTCTAATCAGCCACCGGTGCTATCACATCCTAAGGCCCTCTTACCAGTGTTATAAAACTTGAGATGGAATGATGGAGGACTCCCAGGAGTAGAGCTCACGGGTGCGTTTGATAGCCCTTCAGCGCTCGCACAGGGGTGGCAATGCGCCGTAAGAGTAGGGTAATGTTTTTGCTGGCCCGACGCAAAGCCAATTTGGCAGGAGAATGCCCCCATATGGACTATCCTAGATACAAGTACCAGTGCAAACATGTTCTGGTCCTCGAGTGAGTTTGGGCCTAAAGCGCTCTGAACAGTGGAGAAACCAGTATTTTCTGGATCTCAAGCGTACAAGTACACGTTCTACCGGCTGCCTCGGGGCGTCTGGCACCTGCCCGTAGGAAATTGGATTGGGTTCGAGCACGTCCAGCTGGTTATGTTTAATAGATGATAGTTTAAGTTATACCGTACCGACTTATTGTATTTCGACGCGACACCGACACGTCCATCTTTGGAAATTTGTTTTGGCCCCGTCGCAGTTGTTGTTAGGGGAACGGAGGACTTTGTCCACTTCTCGTTTTCCATTGTTTTCTCTCTCCACCTCCGCGTTTTTTTGTAAACTTTCTTCTCCCGTATCACGAAATCACGATACAAACCATCGCCAATTAACTCGCATATCAGGCACGGTAGTGAAACGAAAGAGAAGGCTCTCGAGATTGTGAGTCCCCCACCCCCTCAGCTCTCAAATCCTTGTTTTCATCTCACGTTTGTCCAGCTTTCTTGTTCCCTGTACCCGTATCACAAACTGACCAACCACGCGCCAGCAGCTATCCTTTCCCCTCACCATCCCTACACACTACCAACCTCCCTCAAGAATACAAACTTCTGAGAGCCACCAAATCTATTCCCCCTGCACTTCCCTTACCTCAATCTCCTACCAGGCACACACACCCCTCCTTCGAATCTCTAACCCCCTCATTCACTATCAATGGCCGCCGTGTCCCAACCACCCACTTCACCTCCCTCACAATCACTGGCGCGTCGTCGTGGTCGCCGCCCCGCGCTGATACCTCACAACGAGGATCTCTCAATCTCATTATCTGCTGCCTCTGCTGCGCTAGGAATGGCATCATATTCGCCAAACCGCGAGGGGCAACGTTCGGAAGGTGTCCTGTGGGCGGTCCTCGGATCTGCACCGCCCCCGCCTCCACCGCCCCAGTGGGACTCGCAAGGTCACACGCGGGAGAGCGGGGACATTGCTAAGTGGGGTCAGGATGCCATGGACGTCGACTACGATGATGGTGACGATGAGAGAGTGGAGAGGGAGCTGGTTAGGAGCCTCATCTCCAACGATGTTTTTACATGGGTATGCAGAAATTTTTTTGGACATGTGAAGGAAAAAAAAGCATTCAGTTGCCTCACCGCTGCTTTGCTGACCTCAAAAACCCTGCTTAGGTAAATTCTACCGATGGCGAAAGCGATCAGGCATACAGTGTCGCATCGAGTTGTGGGAAAAACATGTGTGCCGCCTCTGGCTCCGAGACTGCTCCCACTTCACCGCTAAGCGGGAACTTTCCAGAACAATTGGAATTCCGAAGAAGGAGATTGGAAGAGGCTGCGCGTGAAGATGCCGGCAGGAAATAGAACTAGACGCTTACCTGTGATGAACGATTGATTGTTTGCCGGCGGTCAGTTGGGAAGGTCAATGAAAGGTCATGCATGATTGACGCCCTTTTTTTTTTTTTCATGACGGTTATGATAAGACGAAGAAATGATGTGGGAGTATACATTTATTATTATTATTTTCTACCCTACTTTCTTACCGCATCGATCTAATAACTCTTTTTATATTACCTTTTCCACTTCTTCTTTTCCTTTACTCGTAGTATCAGTTTCTTTTGCATCACTTTTTTTTTCTCTCTTCCGGAAACTCTACACGATGGGGAAAAGGATGTATTGCGCGGGAAGCAAATGGGCGGACGAGACGGGGTGAGTATGCAAAAGCGAATCTATCTGATAGCATTACCGTAATTTGTTTTACCATGAAGCCTTTTTCCTTCCCTGCGACTCCGCGGGGCCGGCGCATCAAACGTCTGTCATGGTCGCATATCAAGGCAGTAACCTTAATGACTAACCCTTACCAACCCGACCCAAACCCGTGCATTAATTCACCGTAAAAGCACTGCACAGTATGTCGTCTAGAGGCACAGGCATGATGCGGTACCGGTATGATAGAACCCGGGTCATCCCTTCCCCTTCCCCTACCTCCCTCCCACGGCCCCCACTGCTAAACCCCGGTAAGCACGATACTTGTATGTCTCGGGGACAATCCCACGGGTTCCTCCCCACAATCACACCGGTAATCCAGAGCCGCGTCGACACAGGAAAAGTTCCCCGCATGATATTATATCACAATTTACCTCAGGAAACCTCCCTCTCCCTCTCTACACCCCCCCCCCCCCCCACTAAGGGGTATTTGTGCGAGTACTAGCATCACACAGTAATCCTTTGTTGGGCTTCGTTCTGTGGCATCGTGTCATATCATATCATACACATCATACTCGTACCGAACAATTTATCAGAAACGGAGAGTTGGTTAGCGAAGGCGCTGCCGTAGGGGGTACCGGTAGTGGTACTGTACAGGTAAGGTAAGATAAGGTGCCGGGTTGGGGGTACTCGAGTATCGTAACAGAAAACCCTTTCATCATATCATACGAATGCGGCGGTGCCGTATGATACCGTATCACATCATATCATACAGTGGATTACCACACGGTACCCGTATCGTGCTTGAGCCAGAGTGGTGGGTACCGTAGGCTCCCGCACCGACAACCGCCTATGATATTACCAGTACAGTGTGATACAAGCACAGTACGATGGTCGCAACTCGTTGCAGCAAGATCTATATCAAACCTTCTTCCCACCCCCACCCATTATCCCCACGCACGATAGCTCCTTCTCAGCCTTAGACCTTGGATCTGATCCCCACAGAACAACCCCCCAAACGATCACATGACATAATGATTCTCCCGCTAGCCGCTCGGCATGAGCATAAGCCAACACCCCGCCCATCTACTTGTCTCTATCTATCTATCCGGGTCGCCAGACCGGTCACGGTGCTACGCCCCGCCCCTTCCCCCCCGCGCGGGGGGGAAGGGGTGGGGAATATGCGCACTGTACAGGATGACGGTACCTTACAGTACTCGGTACCATACTTTATTTTCTTTTCGGTGGTGCGCAGTGCAGCACTGTACCACGACAACGCCCAATACCTTATCGGTAGGTAAATATGCCTGTACTAGGATGAGATGGAATACGGGTACGGGGTATGATAGGGGGCAATAATAACACGATCGAGGCTAGGCATCCGCGCCGAGTGACAGATAATGACCCACCCGGTCTCTGTGACGATAGATTGGTTACCATATCTCCGGGGGAGCGGGGTTCTAACCGCGATCACGATCTCCACCCTGATTGATACGAGAGCTTGTTCCCTGGAAAAGCCTGTAAAGTGACAGTAGTACCATTCATTTATTCACCGAACGGACGGGGGGAGGAAGAAAAAAGAAGAAAAAAGAATGGGAAGGAAGGAAGGTCGCCTTTGCTCAATTTCCGGGAAGGAGGAGGAGGCCCAAACGAACAAACTCCTGTCAGATGTAACCTGCCAACTTATCGAGTGGAAAACCTGCTCTTGCATAGGGGGACCGGAATTTGCCAGGGCATTATCCCGTAGCAGTTTTTGCGGATACCGTTCTTTTTTTATGCATTGTTATTGTGATGCTCGTTGCTCATGTTGGGGGTGTCAATGGCCAGGGGCGTTATCTCTCTCTCTCTCTCTCTCTCTCTTTTCTTTTCCTTTTCCCCTCCCTTTTCCTTTTGTTTTTTTTTCTACGGAGAATTCGAAGTGGTGTTGGTGAACGATAAACAATGCCATGCGGTGCATTGTCACTTTTCGATGGGGCTGCGGTGGATACGTCTCTCGCGTGTAGGTAGGGCAGGGTAGGGTAGGGCACAGTACCGGTATGTCTGTTGGGGGGAGGATATTCTGGCTTGCATACTGCCGGTGCCTGGGGAGTGAGGCTTCACCGCCATTGTTTTAGGGGGGAAAGGGGGAAGGGGGAAGGGGGAAGGGGGAAGGGGGAAGAGAAAGAAGGAAGAAGAAGCAAAGGATGGATGAATGGATGGAAGAAGTGTGCGCATGTGTGTGCGCGAGAGGCGGGGTCCATCCCTTCTATATGGATATATCCGTCTATCAGCCATCGATCGCAAGGGCGCAAACTCGCTTTATGTACCCGTACTGACGTATGAGAAAAGTATAATGCTTCGTGCACTACCGTACTGAAGTACAGTGCCGCATACAAAAGACCTGTGCCCTACGGGAACACTAGGGCACAGCTTTGTGCTGTGCAAGCGCTCGAGTACGATACTACGATACAGTGTTCGATTAGGGTCATATCTGTTGGTCGTTCTCCTTATCCGCTGAATTGCCCTTGCTTCGACAGCGATAGCCAATCACACGCGCAGCATTCCAGCCAGCGCCATAGACCTGCGCGAGGGTAGAGGGGAGAGAGCAAATGCATGAAAAGCGAGTGGCTATTCTCGCACTTTACGGACAACACCTTTCCTAACCCATCGGTTCGAGCCGCCCCCGCCAAGGGGGGGACTTAGGAATGCCTACCGGTATCCAGGGCTTCCTGTCGGACTTAAAGTTAACTCCCCGAGGGGAAGAGGATGGCGCCTCCCGAGGCCAGCGATTATCGCAAGGTTTCGCCACACAGTACAGCTAAAGTGCACTCGCAGCACTCGGACTGTGCTCGTACAAGTACAGTTTACCCCGATATCCAGATTCGGCTGACACCTCTGTCCGACGTCGGGAGGAGCGTGACGGACAGATAGACAACCTCAAAACCAGAGTCGATGGGCGGGAGGGGAACCGCCAAAGTGAAATTGCCTTCTGGCCTCCGAATGGGTGGTTAACTAGTCACACAGGCCCCCGTGTCTGCGGTGGTGCAGTGCAAGTGCTTAGCACAGCTCGATGTTGCCTAAAACTACAGTATGCCAGTAGCGTGCGATAGCGTGGGTTTCCAACCTGAAGAATCTTGCACTTTTTTTCTTCCTTTCTTGTTGATCCTGCTTGGAGCCTTGCTGCACGCTCTGGCGTGGGCGAGGGGGGGGGGCGATCTGTGCGGCTGCCAAAGAAGCCATCTTTATTTTTTCTTTGTTGTCTTCAGCGCTTGAGGAGCAAGACAACTGTTGGGTCCCAGGGCAAACGGTGATTCCCGGAAGAATCGCTTGATCTAGGCATGATGCCGTCATAACTGCACGAGATATTTTTGGGATTGGGGGAAGGCTTAATTTTTTTTCCAGCCCTCTTTTGCCCCTCAGTAGAGTACAGGTAGTGTAGTGTGTCTCTACCGGAGTGTCGCGACGATCTTGTCGAGGCAAGACGGGCACCAGAGTGCTGTACGGTACTGTACGGTACGAACGATAGGGGTCAGAGATGAGATAGTCTACGGCACTCGAGTACGAGCACAGTATGACACTGGAGTAGCATACTTGTACGAGTACTCGAGTACATTCCCACGGCATCCTATCTTTGCGCTCTCAAACCGCTCCTCGCCTGTCGGAAGAGGACAACCCCAGCCGGCGCATACCGTCAGCAGCCAGGCAGGGATTGGTTGCTTTTGCGTAAAGTGCGGAAAAAAAAAAAGGAATTGGGTGCGAAGTGACGTGTGATTCTTACTAAGACGCACGAAATGCGCACAGCACAGCTACGTACGGCTTCCCTCCCGAGTGGTTCTCCCCCCCCTTCACCGCTCGGTTACAATATGCAACATGAAGGAGACAAGGCACGAATTCTCACTCGGGACAGTGCCTAAACCCGCAACACGGTCTGGCCTGCAAGTGTGTGCATCGGGGTGGAGAAGCACACGGGTCTTTATTCCCCTCTGCGTCTTTTCCAGCATCTCATCGTGGGGGGAACGACACCGTGGAAACTCGAATAACTGAACCTCGTGCCGCGGTAGAACTTGGAGTTGCCTTTACCGGCAAGATGCCGCGCTTTTTACCTTTTTTTGTCCCAAGCTGGGGCCGAGACCCGCAGTCTTTTCGCCTCCCTATCTGAGAGTGGCGATTCTGGAAGTCTTGGGGGGTGTTTGGTGTACCATGATTTGATTTCAAAATCAGATCTTGGCAATTTTAACTCAAATTATAACTTGTAAAAACGGGGTAGGATTGAGTATAACGGTTGTAATAATGTGTGTTAAAATTGCCAAGACCCGATTTTGAAATCCAAATCATGGTATGCCAAACACCCCCTTAAGTGTGAGGTTCTGTGATTTGAATTTTTGCGCCAAGGTATGGGACACTCTTCACTTGGGTGGGTCTTAGGGCTAGCGAAAGGTGTGTTTTGGGCCTTCGCTGTTGTAAAAACCAAGAATGAATATCGACAAGTAATAGAGGAATAATGGATAGATGAAAAATTGCTTGTTCTTGGTGATACCTGGGACACACCACCTCTATATAATACAGCAACTCCACAGTCTGGTTGTCCGTATTCAGGACACCACCAATCTCTAAACACCAGCCCCTTACTAGTCCCCTGACTTAAGGGTTAACTATCATCCAGCTTCACGCTAAGTGTCCTCTAGCTTGACACTAGTTTCATATCCACATATTCCGACACATATTTCAACATTCGCCATCATTGGTATTGCGAGTGATAGTGTGTGGGGGGTTAGTGGTAAGATCGAGGAATGGGTGAGTGATTGCTCATGACTGAGGTCTTAATTTTTCGAGAGCAGCCTTTAGGACTTGCTTTCTGTTCGCCAGATATTGCTGATTGAGCGTCTCAACCTTTCCGCCAAGGACAAGAGTGTTGGCGGGAGCTAGGAGCAATACCCCCCGGCAGACGGTGACGTTTTTCAGGACCATCTGCTAGAACCGTTAGTGAGATCTCGTGTCGGGAAGGTGAAGGAATTTTATGGAAAGAACCTTAGTTCCCATCGGCATATCAACATGAACCCCCTGTATATCGTGAAGCTCGATTCCATAAACTCCCCTCCCCCCGGCGTCCTCCACAAGCAGCTTATGAGGGCCAGTTTTTGCAGTAGCCACCCTGGGCCTGCCAAGGGCTCCACCGGACACACCCTCATCCCCCTCCTCTTCAGGGACTACTCTTATGACTTCTTTGCCCTTCATGAATTCTCCCCTCTCGCCCATCTCGATCCGATCAATCTGGTTGAATTTGGAGGTCCCCATATCTTCTATCCCCACGACTTGAACCGCAACAGGCCCAGGGAGCGGAGTACTCTGAACGTCCCCATCGGTAATATTTACCGGAAAGCAGAGGTTTGCGTACGGTTGCAAAGAGTCCGTAATATCGGAGGATAATATACGGAACTTGAGCCAGCCAAATAGGGCAGGCCCGGTGGGAATTTGGCGCTGCGATGCGAGTGAGGTTAGCAGAGTTTGCAGGTAAGTTGGACGGATATGGAGCGCGTGGTTTGCGGAGAAGTGCTTGAGGATGGTGTCTATTGGTGGTAGCGGCATAGCCAGTAATGGCGGTGGTATTATTGTGAGCCGTAGTGAAGGGGGTAGTATTGGTGACTGTGAGGGGCGGGGGAAAGAAGGGGAGGTGAACGATAACAGGAGAGGACACGATAAGCCCTACAGGGTTGGGGTATGAATTTTTTACGCTAGTACATGTACGAGTGATAACGTGACTTGGCGGCGGTTTCTGATCCGCGATGCGAGTTATTCGTGATACCAATGCATTGAACTTGAATCCTCGGGGCCCCTTTTCTGTGATTCGGCTTAGAATACTGGTGGTCAATTTCGAAATATCTTTGATCTATTCTTCGTGAAACTCTTCCGCGCGCTGGCGGTCTTCTGCTTACTACGGATCAATCCCGACAAAAATATGCAATACTGGTATACTAATCAGACTCCCTGAAGAAGTCAACAACAGTGCTCGAGTACATACTCCCCTTTACAGCCTACAATGCCATCGCTCCCACAAACGACATCAGCCATCGCCTTAACAGCGGCAATTCCAATAATCTACCCGTTCATCATGCCACTATTCAGCAGCAACAAACTACCCGTCGACGGTCGTGTACGCTTCTCACCTTTTCTAGTTATCGCGTGTGCAGCTTCAGCTAATGGAGGATAGCTCGTTGCGATAACCGGAGGATCTCAGGGCATGGGTTTGTCCGTCGCAAAGCTACTAGCTTCGAAGGGCGCGAGTGTAGCGATCATCGCGAGGAATAAGGAGAAATTGGATAGGGCAGTTGGTGAAATTCGGGTGCCGCGGCCCCCTTCATCTGATTCTGCTATGGTGGAGTGGATCGCTGATGAAGTGTTAGGAATCCGCACTGAGGGAGGGACAAAGATTTATTGCGGTGAGCGCGGACCTGACGATAGCTAATGAGGCACGGAGGGCATTGGAGGAGATTAGAGCTTGGGGTGGGGTTCCGGATATCGTTTGGACTTGTGCAGGTTTGACTTCATGACACTGCTCCTTTGAAATAGAAGGACAAGGCTAATGGAGTGGCGGCACATAGGAGAGGCATTCCCTGGCCTTTTTAAGGACCAGGACGTGCAATTACTTGAAAAACAAGTCCAAACAAACTATCTATCCGTTCTCTGGACTGCACACGTGATTCTCCCTTCCCCTGCATCTGACGGACAGAAACTAAACCCCACCTAGGCTGCCCTAAATATAATGACCCAATCTCCTCTTCCGCCTCAATCCCCCGAACGTCACCTGATCTTCACCTCCTCCGTGATGGCCTTCTATCCACTAGCCGGATACAACGCCTACACCCCCTCAAAGGCCGCGATTCGCTCCCTCGCCGACGGCCTCCGCCAGGAATGTCACCTTTATAACATTGCAGTGCACGCCTGCTTTCCCGGTACCATATACTCCCCAGGCTTTGAAATTGAGCAGCTTACAAAGCCGGAGATCACCAAGATTCTCGAGGGTAGCGATGAGGGGCAGTCGCCGGACGAGGTTGCGAAGCAGTGTGTTAAGAGGCTGGAGAAGGGGCATGCTCTGGCTGTTAGCAGCTTTATGGGGGAGACATTAAGGGCGGCAAGTTGGGGAGCTAGCCCTCGGGGGAATTGGGTTTGGGATACGATTTTTGCGTGGATCATTAATGTGGTTTGGTTGTTCATGGGACCGGTTATGGATTCGGAGGTGGTCAAGTATAGGAAGAAGAATGGGGATGAGGCCTTTTACTCCGCTCCCTAGGAGCCTTGATGTAGGAGCGTTGAAATCTTGTGGTCGGGCGTCATAGTCATGGTGGTGTGAGCGGGGGGCGTAGTGTGTTTGGGTGGTTAGCTAGAATTGATAATAATACCTTGCATTTCTTACTGTCCGAGCTGACCATGAATTAGTTTAGGAGGGCAGGGCTCGAGATATGCAGACGAAAGGAGGTGCCATAACCGGGCAGCGGTATTCCGTGCAGCACTTGATATCAACATGCCGCAAAAACTCGCCAAACTCGCCAAACTCGCTATGCAGGGAACAAAGATATTGGCGCTAGGGAGTGGACCGGACCATTTTTACCCTGAGCAATGACCAACAATAACAACAACACCTGAAGACAACTGTGCACTAGTGCCGGTACCCATGTAAAAGACTGTAATAATGATGACGGTCTTGTACCTCAGATAGAAATTGTCAGTCAAGAAAATTTCAAAATATCATCTGAAACCCCTTCAAATGAGATGCACAAAACACCACGAGGACCAAAACGAAAGTTATTGGCTGAGCAGGTAGTACGAGAAGTTCAGCAAATTCGGCAACTCATTTGATCCTACTCACAAGCAAAGAAACTTCAGGTTCTTAGGTTTTTCTTCAATTATCATATACTATTGTATGAGCCTAGCTCTAGCTCCATCATTAGAAGTATAGAAATCGAACAACTAATACAGGCTCCCTTTCAGGAAGAAGCAGCTATACCGTTCCAAATTCCACAAATAATGATTAGGGGTTGGGTTCAAAATAGCAATATGATATTAGCAATTGTAAAGGCATCAGTAAAAATTATTTCTGCATCAGAGGTGCAGGTGGTGTATCCTAATGCAAGGTGGGAGGATTCTGCATCCTGTGTATTCTATGTATCTAGTACTTAGGCACCAAGTCTGGTTGCATCTGGTACATTCCAGTACTTAGGCTACAAAGTGCCACGTCCAGAGTGCATCCTAAGTAAGCAAGGCTGCCTAGTTACTGTCCTGAGATTCTGAGTGATAAATACAGTTGCTAGCCACTCCTCCTTTAGCAGCCCCCTATTAGCTCCCCCCCTACTGGTTTTCCTGTCTACCAGCTTACCCCATACTAGCCTCCCCCCAGGCCTACCAGCATCCTGCATACCACCTCTCTCCTTGCTTGCTCCCCCTACCACCTCCCTCCTTACTGGCTCCTCCTAGTACTACCCCTATATTGTAGACTTTGTTCTTCACTTTGTCTACTTTGTCAAGTTAACGAGGTTCTAGTTAAGTGCAAATTCCCCAGGTATCCTTTGGGTGCAGTATCTCATACTTGGCAGTCAGATTCTATCCAATGCCAGCTTTCTAATAGTATCTTGGATATCTACCCAGTACTGATATTGATGGAGTTACAGTCTGTTATAAAAATGCAGTAATCTTTACCCAGGCAGAGTTTTGACAGATTGCTGACTTTGATGCCAGATTTCTTGGGTACTCTTTGGGCACAGTATCCCATAGTTAGCAGCCTGATTCTACTTGATGCCAGCTTTCCAATAGTGCCTAGGATGCCTGCTCAGCACCAATATTGGTAGAGTTACAGTCTGTTATGAAAGTAGTCTTTACCCTAGTGGAGTTCTGGCAGAGTGCTGACTTTGACACAAGATTCCCCAGGTGTCCTTTAGGCGCAGCATCTCATGCTCAGTAGTCTAATTCTACTTGATGCCAGCTTTCGAATAGTACTTGGAGTGTCTACCCAGGGCCAATATTGGCTGAGTTATAGTCTGTTACAAAAGTGGTCTTAACTCTGACAGAGTTCTTGTAGAGTGCTGAATTTGATGCTAGATTCCTCGGGCATCTCTTGAGTGTAGTATCTGATACTTGGCAGCCTTCTTTGTTAGGTGGCAGCCAATTCTAAGTCAGACAAATTGTAACTGAGGCCAATAAGGTTTCTCGGAGAGTGGTCAAGAAAGCTTGTAATAAAAGTATATATCAAAGTATAATGAATATATTGATAAGATCTCTTCCCCATTCGCTGATGATTCTGAAAGCTAAGGATTTTTTTTTTGTTTAACTCATTGATCATTTGTTTAGGGTACAAAAAATGTATGGAGCGCTAGCTATAATAACAAAAAACCCATATCCCTCCTCTTACTACAGGAAAAAGCCAACCCCCCAAGCTCCTCTAGGATGAAGCCAACTGCACATCTCGCCTCAAAGAAAAGAAACTCAAGCCTGGCTAGAGGGACAAACAAGGAAATCCTGACTAAGAAGAAAGCAGGAAGGACCAGGAAAACCCACTGAGAAATTCTAAAAAGACAAAAGAAAGGTAAGTAGCAAGCCACATAGGCCCCGAAGGGTGAGTCCACTCATACAAGCAGGAAGCGACACACGAAGTACGCTAAGATAGGGGGCTTCCCCCAGACCCACTCCAAGGAGGCAGTACAATACCATGGAGGGAAAGAGGAGACCAGCCGGCCGTGGGCGATAACCGGGAGGAGGGGAAGGAGTAGCAGTAGGGTGCTAGCCAATTCGACCGTAGGGAGAGGAGAGCGGAGGGGTAGACCCAAAGACCTTAAATATCGTCTATCAGTATCGCGTTCGTATCTGACTAGGCAGCCTCTTAGAGGAACAAGAGAATCGGGAGATCGACTGTAGCCTGGTGGCTGTTCTCCCCTACTGCAACTGTAGTCGCAGCCATCTGATGATGGTAGTTAATGTTACATATAATAGCGTAATCGGTATGGCACGTGACTAAATGCATAAGGTCACGTGTTTGACTCCAGGCTCCGCAGTAGTTATCGTGACGATATCATATTATCACACGAAACGATAAGGCATCTATGCAGCCCGCTCCATGGAGATACGAGGCATGCGACCGAGGGGTTTTCACTGGATAACATAGAAGGAACTCCGCTCTACAAGATAAGACTTAGTTGCAACGGATTGGTTGGTTAGTTATTGAACTCTGACCTCCGGAAGTCTTGGTACTGCTATTCCCGAGAGGTAGCCGCACCAGTCCTAGCTCGCGTAAACTAGGTCATCCGGAAGACTAGTTTACAATTGGTTAAATAACAACTCACTGAACGAGTTAGTTATCTTCATCATGCACTCTAAGCTATGCACATAGAAGAGTCATTGATAAGTCCTTTGATGGAGCTGATCACTCCGCTCAGGAAGAGAGCGGGGAAGTTAGTTTTCAGGGTCAAACGGAGTCCCAACTCCACAGACACTGAATTGTTAGTATGGGAGGTACATAGTCAGTAAGGGATTGGATGTAGGCCGCGACCAGCCAGATGTGGACTATAAATATCGAGGTGCCTCCTTAGCTTTTAAGCACGCTCCGCGCCCTCTACTTTCCTCTCGCTTGAAAACATTACCGCATTCGGCCAGGCAAAACTCCAGGGTTTTGCGTGGCAACCATCTCCACACACCTAATTCCTCCCTCGCTTAGGCTTCAGTCTCTAAGTGCACAGCCCCCTCACTACCCCGCACAGCCCCCTTCACCATGGAGGGGCCTGGTCCGGGCCCTTCAAGGTCTGGCTCTCGAGCCTCCAGTCGTGCCTCGCCCTACGAGTCAAGA